GAAGGGAAATCTCTGTACTTCTTGCTCAAGTTCTCCATGAACCTACAAGTGCTCTAAAAAATAATCTATTAAAGAGAAAAAGAATTATGTATATATAAGAATTACATATATCTGAACTATATGTAGTGTGTCTATATATACATATATACATACTATGTACATACTACATATATGTGTGTATACACACACACACACACATATGTATATATCTCCAGTTTGTCATTGGATTAGCTGTATAAGAGGAAAGAAAACCAACACTGAGGCCCAGGGCAATAGTTTTTTAAAAATTACAATAGAGTTGGATACATATAGTCCCAGCTACTGGGGAGGCTGAGATGGGAGGATTCCTTGAGCCCAGAAGCTTCCAGGTTGCAGTGAGCTACAATCACACCACTGCAGCCTGGGTGACAAAATGAGATCTCGTCTCTAAAAAATATAAAAATCACAATGACAACAGAAAGCACTTAGAGCTGGACTGTCCAACCTGGGAGCCTCGAGCCACATGTGATTAGTGAGCCTTAAAATATGCCTAGTTTGAAGGAGGAACTGAATTTTTAATTTTAATTACTGTACATGTAAATTTAAAACTGATAGATGCAATTATCATATGTTAGGAAAAAAATCATATATGTTAAGAAAAAATTTTAATAGGTTTGGAACAATCTGGACATGTGAATCTACCCTTCCAACTTAGTTGTGAGCTTTAAATATGGACCAATTATTTCCAAAGAATAATTAGCATCCAAATTGAGACATGCTTTGAGTAGAAAATATACACCAGAGTTTAAAGACTTAATACCAAAAAAAATGTAAAATATCTCACAATTTTGATATTGTTTACATGTTGAAAGGATATTTGGTTACACTGAGTTAGTAAAATATGTTATTAAAATTTACTGCAGCTGTATCTTTTACTTTTTTAAAATCTGGCTTCCAAAAAAAGTAAAAGACATAAGTGTCTTACCCTCATGCACTGCTGGTGAGAATGTAAATTGGCATGGCTGCTTTGAAAACCAGTATGGCGAGTCCTCAAAAGGTTACAGATAGAATTACCCAGCACTTCCACTCCTATGTATTTACCCAAGATAATTGAAAACATATGCCCACAAAAAAAATCTCATACATGAATGTTCGTAGCAGCATTACTCATAATGGCCACACAGTGAAAACCACCCGACGTCCATCAACTGATACATGACTAAAACCAAAGCTGGTATACCCATACAGTGGAATATTATTCAGCCTGAAAAAGGAGTGAAGTATTGATAGATGCTCCCACATGGATGACCCTTGGAAACATTACACTAAGTGAAAGAAGCCAGACACGCAAAAGCCACCTACTGTATGATTACATTTATACAAAATGTCCAGAATCGGCAAATCTACTCAAGACAAAGTATATTAGGACTTGCCACTGACTGGGGGAGGGTGGGGAGAGGAATGACTGTTCATACGTATGGGTTTCTTGCGGGTATAATGAAAGTGTTCTGGTGATGGTTACATAACTCATGATTGTACTTATAAAAAATTACATATTTGGCTTGCATTAAATTTCTATTGGACAGCACTAATTTTAATGAGATAACTGTTTTCTTTCCTAACTGTCACTAGTGACAGTATAGAATTTACCAAAGTTAATGTGGGGAGATTTTTGCCCCTATCCACGCCCCATGGGACGTGTGGCAGTATCTGGAGACATTTTTGATGGCCACAACTGGGGTGGAGGTGAGAGGAAGAGATTGCTGCTAGCCAGGGATGCTGCTAAACATCCTGCAATGCATGGGCAGCTGCCCAGAACAAAGAATTACCTGGCCCACAATATCAGTAGTGTGGAGGCTGAGAAACCCTGCACTAAAGGCTGCTCAGAGGATCCCTGCCCCAACTACTACCTCCTTTGCTCCATCTTTGCTCCTTTGACTTTCCTGGGGTCTGATTCAGGGTATGGCCTTCTCAGAAGACTCTCCTGGAGTCCATCCCATCACAGGCATCCTGAGGCCAGGAGCTCACCCAGACACCAGTGATTCTGTGGACTTGGCAATGTTCTAAGCAGAGTCCTGAAAGGGCCCAGGGGTTCTATAGTCAACTGGCTGTGGAGTCTCTGACTTGGGCCTTACCCTCTGAGGCTTCCTGAGTCCCTAAGTGTGATGTTTACTCTCAATGAAGCTGGCTTCATGTCAGGTAGATTGCCATTTTTCATGTTATTTTCTCTTCCACATCAGATTTTCTATGCCAAGAACAACTGGAATTTGTAAAGTCTGCATGAGGAATGGGCTTCTTCTTTGATGCCTGAAGTAAAAACTCAAGGAAGGATATCCAGACTCGCCTTCAGGTACGTTATTTTCAAATTACCTACTCTGTCTCTGCTTCTGATGGCTGCTGTAACAAATCACCATGAATTTAGTGGCTCCGAACAACATAGATTTATCACTTTACGGTTTGGGGGGTCAGAAGTCCAACATGAATGTTGCTGGGCTAAAATTAAGGTGTCAGCGAGGCCATGTCCTTCTGGAGGCTCTAGGGGAGTGATGTGGTTGGCCTGTGTCCCCACCCAAATCTCATCTTGAACGTGGTTGGGCTGTGTCTCCACCCAAATCTCATCTTGAACGTGGTTGGGCTGTGTCCCCACCCAAATCTCATCTTGAACGTGGTTGGGCTGTGTCCCCACCCAAATCTCATCTTGAACGTGGTTTGGCTTTGTCCCCATGCAAATCTCATCCTGAATTGTAATGCCCACAATTCTCACATGTCATGGGAGGGACCCAGTGAGGAGGTGATTGAATTATGGGGTTGGGTTTTTCCTGGGCTGTTCTCATGATAATGAGTGAGACTGACAACATCTGATGGTTTTAAAAATGGGAGTTTCCTGGCAGAAGCTCTCTCTTTGTCTGCCGTCGTCCAGGTAAGACATGACTTGCTCCTCCTTGCCTTCCACCATGATTGTGAGGCCTGCTCAACCATGTGGAACTGTATGTCCATTAAACCTTATTTTCCTCTGAGTCTTTATCAGCAGCATGAAAACTGACTAATACAAAAAGAGAATCCCTTCTGTCCAGCTTCTGGAGATGTCCACATCCCTTGGCACGTGGCACTTTCACTACCTCCAAAGCCAGCACAGTAACATCTTCAAATCTTTCTCTGACCAATGCTCTTGTCTACCTCTTCCACTTATAAGGACCCTTGGGACCAAGTAGGACCACCTGGGTAATCCAAGCTAATCTCCCCACGTCAGGGTTGATAACCTTAATCACATCTGCAAAGTCCCTTTTGCCATATTCACAGGTTCTGAGAATCAGAATGTAGATGCCTTTGGAGGGGATTTTTCTGCATACCATGCTGTTAAGTGGGCATGGACAGTCTACTGCAGGGGCTGGGGTCCCTTAGGCACTCTCTGTTGCCTTCATTCCATAGGAAAAAGAAATTGGGTATTATTCCTTTTCCAGAGTTGGAGAATTTACCCAGTCTGAGTTCTCAGGTAGTTAGATGCTGACTTTTCAGATCCTAATTCCCAGCAGACCTATGCCCCAGAATGGCCAGTGAGAGATTTACTTTTCTTTATATCTTTGAATAGTTTCAAATGAATTACTGTGATTCAGATATTTTTGTATTATTTGGGGTTACAATGCTTCTGAAGTTGTCATACCTGCTGAGTTTAAATCACCTGTAACAGGTGAACCTATCAGATCACATGACAATGTTCAACTCCACATTTATTGAGATCTCCTGTCAGATACTGTGTGTGCCCAAGAAAGCTCAGCACTGACCCACAAGGAATTAAAAACCTAGCGGAGGAGACAAATAAGTATACTACCAATCTAACCCCAGTGTGATGTACAGCAAAGGCTCTAAAGTCAGTAAAATAAAGAGGTATAGGACTGCTGGGGAGGGTGTGAGTCAGGGCTGGATGGTTATGCAAGGATGCTGAAATATTGAAAGGGGAAAGGGTGATGAAATAAGCAACATTGGAACACTGGACCCTCAGGAATGGGTCAGAATCCTTTAAGGTCAAACCTAAGAGGGGATGTTCTTAGAGTTCTGGAGGACAGGAGATTCAACCTTAATGGTAGCTGTTAGGAAATTTTCTTAATTGAAGATCCGCCCCCACCCCCCGCCCCCTGACCCCCCACAGAAAGCAGACCCTGAGACAAGAATGTGGATACAATGTTTATTCAGGAGATGATCCCAGAAAACATGGGGAGAAAGGGGAAATACAAGACAGAGAAGAAAAACCACCAGGAAATGGGACATGAATGAATGACTGTGTTGCTGCTGTGGACAACAGGGGCCTGATCATGGGGATCCTCTAAGGAATCGTGTGATGAATGCCTTAGACTCACTCCACAGGAGGCTAGGGAGTCTGGGACATTCTCTACCAACTCCCATCCCATTGGTGGAGGACTTTCCTGACTTCCAGATGTACTTCTGGTGTGGTCAAGCAACCTCCCAGCTCATGAAGTTCTCAGGCTCTGGGAGCTGTCAGGTGGTGGAAACTGCCTTCACCTGCAGTTGCAGGGAACCTAGGTGGACGGTGTAGCTATGGGGCAGGGCCTTATCAGCACCTGCCTTGGGAGCAATTGAATACATTCATCAATAATCTGGATGTTGAGGCCAATCCATGGGTTCTTTCACCTGAGCTGTTCTGACTCTACAGTTAGCCAATATTCAGTGATCATCCTCACCTTCACCCACTTCAATCTGTGCTGTGTTGATCTGATTTTCTTATGAAACTTGAGTTCCAGTTTTGTCACGTACAGATAGAGGTGCCCTGGGCATGTTAATTAACCTCGTTCAGTCTTGTAGGCCAGCTCATGGTATTGTTACATGGACTACCAGAAATGCCAAGGGTCGGGCATTAACATAGTATTTGAAACACACAAATATTCAATAAACGGTTGTAATTTTGTGGATGATAACACTTGTTTCTCCCTACCATCAGCGCAGACTTTTGACGTGGTATAGAAGCTGAGATCATGATCTAAAAATGCAACTCCAAGATGGTTTCATTTTTAGTCTTTTAAATGACAGAACTGACTGATGTGATTTGTGACTTACTGCTTACTTTTGGTAAATAACAATTCCATTTCAGAAAAATGCCTTACTAAATTGTCAGTTGGTGTCATGCCATGAACACAATATCAACATCATCATTCGTAAGAACTTACAGTCTCCCAGTGAATAGAGTAACCTCTGGTATAAATTAGGTATGCATGGAAGCTATTTTAGACTACAGGGACGCCTTTAGTAGTTCACTACATTTGTGTACCAAACAGCTCCCAAATTACCTGGAGCTATGGATGTAAATTCTGAGAGTGAATTTATGTCTTAGCTCAGGCTGCTATCACAAAAGGCCATATATTGTGTGGTTTAAATAAGAGACATTTATTTCTTCTAGTTCTGGAAGCTGGGAAGTCCAAGATCAAGGTGTTTCTGATTGAGTTCTTGGTGAGGGCTCTCTTCCTGACTTGCAGGTGGCTGCCTTCTCATTGTGTCCTCAGATGGCAGAAAGAAGAGAGGAAACAAGCTGTCTGGTGTCTCTCCTTACAAGAGTTCTAATCCCATCATGGGGCTCCAGCCTCATGACCTCATCTAAACCTGATTACTTCCCACAGACTCCACCTGCTAACAGTATCACATTGGAGGTTATTATGAATTTTTAGGGGATAAAAACATTAGTCCATAGCATCGTATGAGTGATACTCCCCCTGTGGGAATTTGGCAGCTCATATGATACAGTCTTACTGTATATGGCTCTAGAAATACGGTAAGAGGAAATTTTATCCATATCTAGTGGCTTAATTTTTTATAATACTCATTTTTAGAGCCCTTGGACTTTGAGGGACTCCTATCCAGCATCTAACTTTCAATATCTATTCATGATCACACTATTCCCTCAGTGATCAAAGAAAAATATTCTCTTGCTGGTTTTTTTTTTTTTTTTTGTCTCTTAAGGGATTTTAAAAAGCTATAGTATTGTAATATGCGTACTATTTTTCCAGTAAACCAGAGTAGAGTTTATGTTGTGAAACAGCTAGAAAGGAGGAATAGAGGCATTTTGTTTATAAAACTGTGAAATGTCAGTTACCAGACATTGTTTATAAAACTATGAAATGTATTGCCAGGTAAGAGTGAAAGAAGTGACTTTAAGACGGACTCATTTAGGCTAGAATTGCCATGAGGTATAAGGGCATTAAACTGGGAAAAATGACCAATACGGTAGTTTTGGTTCTGCCAATAAATGGTGTGGCCACAGGCAAAGAGACTAATCTTTCTCTCGTAAACCTGTAAGTTTCTCAAGGGAAGAGACAACATATATAATTGCTTTGAAATTGCTTCCAAGCATTTTTAAAATATCCTTAAATATTTTGAAGGCATGATTTTTAATGCCTTAATAGTCCAAAGAATTTTGTACCATAATATATTTTATTATTCCTCCATTGTTAGATTGTTCTCAGTGTTCCATTATTGTGAACCATGTTACAATAAAAACTCTTGTCCCAATGGTTCTATTTATACTTCTGATAATATTCTTAAGCTAATTACAGGGCCAAAATTTACGTGTTAAAGGATTAGTAAATATCACAAATTTGGCATCCAGAAGGGTTGTACTAATTTACACTCTTGCCAGCAGTGTAACAGAAAAATCTGTGTCCACACAGTCTTATTAGCATGAGGTATTATCACTTTAAGAACAATCTCTGAAAATTGAGAAAGGGAGGAAAGGAGAAAGGAATGGCATTGATAAGTTTATGATGAATTTTATGAATTGCATATTCGATGTCTTTGTTCATTTTTATAAGCTATTCATCTTTTCTTACATCACTTTCTTTGTACATCACAAGCGCTTTTCGGAGTATTTTTTTTTTTTTAATATCAGTTTTTGGTGGGGGGTATTGTGCAACATTCTTACATCATCAGATTTATCTTTTTTTTTTTTCTTTTATACTTGATAGACTTCCTCACCTTGAGAGCCACAGTCTCTTCCACTTTATTTGATATTTATTTTGGCAGCTGATGTAAAATTAGGCATTCACAGGACCTCAGTGCCTTGGAAATTTACAGATCTTCATGTTTAACCCCTTCAGTTTATACTGAGGAAAGAGGCCCAAAGAGAGGAAAAGAAATTACCCAGGGATAAATACAGTTAGTTAATACCAGAACCAGGACTAAAATCAAGGATTTCTAGCTCCTAGTTTATATCTTCCTTCAAAAAAAAATAGTTTTCAATAATATCTGAAAAAATAATTTTCTTAAAAATTTAAAACATTACTAATCACCTCTCCAGATGTTAGGTTTCTTGTTTCCTTCTCCAGAGTTAATCTTATTATTTTGAATGTATTCTTCCAGACTTAAAAAATAATTTTATGTGTTTATATATGTATACACAAATAACATATACTACTGTGGAATAGTTGGGTGGCATAAATCGTGTATATTGCATGTATTCTTCTTCAATGTACCATTCTAATTCTATTGTTTTGAGGTGTCCATCATTTTAGCAGGCCACATTTTATTTAGCCAGTTACCCATGAACATTTCCTTAGAAATGTTTCCTTAGAAACAATTCTACGACACTCATGATGTCAATGCTTCCTTGGGCCCTCATGCAAGCCTCTCTCAAGAGTCAGTATTGAGAAGTGAAACTGCTGCATCACGGCTAATGACCTTTTCAGTTCTAAGAGATTTTGCCAAATTACTCTTTTACTGGCAATGTACTCACTTCCTTCTAATATCAGCTTGACATTATACTTTTAATTTTTTATCTATCTGATGAAAGATGTCATATCTCTAAAATTTGTATTTTCCTAATTACTCATAAGGTTGAGCATCTTCTTGCATATTTATTGTTCATTTATCTCTTCCATGAACTTCATATATATTTACCTTTTAAGAACAATTCAATTGTGAGGGGTGTTTTATCTATTTGATTTTTATACACCTTGGAAAATAATCTTTGTCTATTACAATGTCCTACATACAGAGTGTGTCACTTTAATTTTCTTTGTGGTATTTTTGTTCTATAGAAAAAAATTAACTTGACAAAATCAAAATTATTGATATTTCTTTCTTTTTCTTTCTTTTTATTTTGTTCTTCTTGTCCCAAGAAGATCCTATATCTCTCAAGATCATGAAAATCATTTTGAAAATTTTTTTCAGTACTTTCTAGTTTTTTATGAATTTTAACTCAGAGATCAAATAACAGCAGAGTTTATTTGGGGTCCATTGTAAGGCACTGACATTTTTCCTATATGGTGCTAATTGCGTCAGCATTGAAGTACTTGTCTCTTCCCTACAAGTTGAAAGACTATTTCTATCCATAAACCAAATTCCAGTATTGAATTCTGTACTTTTTCCTCAGTTTGGTTTATCTATCTATTGACGGCAACTCCCACACTATCTTGATGACCACAGCTTTATCATTTGCCTTGATACATGATTGGTTAGCTCAATGCTTTTTCCATCTCCTTTTAGAGATGCAAGTTTATCTTCTATCATAGCCAAAGAAGACCAAGAAAGACCAAGAGAGGCCATGTCTCTGGCACTCAGCTCCAACAGCAGGCAGTGGTGAGGATTTGGTACAGGGACTAAAACCCACCTTACTGCCAAGTGACCCTCCTCTCACCAGCCTCCCCTGCTGCCACCCAAATTCCTGCCACTGAACTACTCCTCAAAATAAAACACAGCTGTAAAAGGCACACCTGTTTTGGATTAGTTACAATAAATCAGGATCTGTATTTATTTCAGTTCCTGGACAGGTGAAGAACAAGCTGCGTTTATACCAAGCCAATTAGGAAGCAGAAGAAAATTCTAATCATGAGTTTTTGTTTTTCCTCTTAGGACAAAGGGGGTTACACTTGAGGATCCTAAACTTCCTATTATTTCCAGGCTCCTGTGAGTCTTTACAGAAATGCCTGGAAAAGTTGTAGTACCGTTCTAGGTCCATCTAACTGAACCCATGGCTTCCAAACTTTAAAGCCTAAGAGAATCCTCAGGCAGCATATTAAAGTGCAGGTTCAGGCCAAGCATGGTGACTCACACCTATAATCCCAGCACTGTGGGAGGCCAAAGCAGGGAGATCACCTGAGGTCAGGTGTTCGAGACTAGCCTGGCCAATATGGCGAAACCCTGTCTCTACTACTAAAAAAAAAAATAAAAATAAAAAATAAACCTGGGCATAGTGGCCAGCCCCTGTAGTCCCAGCTACTTGGGAGGCTGAGGCAGGAGAATTGCTTGAACCTGGGAGGTAGAGATTGCAGTGAGCCGAGACTGCGCCATTGCACTCCAGCCTGGGTGACAGAGTGAGACTCTGCCTCTAATAAATAAATAAATAATAATAAAAATGCAGGTTCAGCAAGTCTGGGGTAAAACTTAGGGATCTGTGCTTTTTTTTTTTTTAATCAGGTGATTCCAATGCAAATTGTCGAGGCCCTCACTTTAAGACACTGCCCTGAGGACTCCAAGCAGAGTTGGGCCACCTGAACATGAGACATCAAAATCCTCAGTGTAGTCTGTTTGCCATGACAGGTTTCCATAATGAGTTAGCTCTGTGAGACTGGGCTACAGGGGAGTGATGTCAGTGTAACCCACTCACTGCATTGGCAAAGGAAACCAGAATAGCTGGAATAAATTAAAGAAAATTGAGCAGGAAAACAAAGCCTTTAAGTCAGCTTTTGCATGGGCAGCAGGGACCCTATTGAGTTGTATTTTAACAGAATTTCAAATGCAGCCTACTGTCGGGGGTTCTCTGTCCTAAGAAGCACACTGCAGGCCTGTGTGTCTAAAGACAGGTTGTGTGGCTCCCCAGGCCCACCTTAACAGCAGCTTTGCTGGCTCAGACACCCACCTCTGTCTTCGAGGTCTCAGCACCCCCCACTAGCTCCATCTGGAAGCTTTTCAGCATCTCCACTCTATTACGTTGTGTGTGGTGGTGTTGGTTTTGTTTTTGTTTTGTGTTTTGTTTTGTTTTGTTTTGAGACCGAGGATTGCTCTGTCACCCAGGCTGGAGTGCGGTGGCACAATCTTGGCTCACTGCAGCCTCAACCTCCCTGGGTTCAAGGGAACTTCCCATCTCTGCCTCCAGAGTAGCTGAGACTACAGGCATGCGTCACCACGCCCAGCTAATTTTTTTGTATTTTTAGTAGAGACACGGTTTCACTGTGTTAGCCAGGATGTTCCTGATCTCCTGACCTCGTGATCCGCCTACCTCGGCCTCCCAAGGTGTTGGGATTACAGGCATGAGCCACTACACCGGGCCCTATATTGTGTGTTTTTAATATCTGCTATGGTGGCTTCCTGCCGGCCTGGGCCACCTCCCTGGATAGTTCAAATGAGCTTCCCGGGCACATTTCTGATTTTGTTAGTTTCAGGTTTCAAAATGGTTTGTTTCCTAAGTAACCTCTTGGGGATGCTAATTTTCCCCAAATCCCTTATACTTTAAGTGTGTGATTTTTTAGAATGTGAGGTGTTTCTGGAATGCATATATTGCACTAGGGAAGGAAAGCCTTATGTGTGAAGAATACCATTGCCTCTGTTTGAAAAGTAATATCGAATAACCTGATGCTCTGATCCTTGGCTAAGATTGTGGGAAATGAGGGACAAAGATTCCAGAATCCCCAAGAAAAGTGCATCACAAGCTGTATAGCTTTTAGCTCTCTGCAGCCCTATTTGGCAGAGGTGGAACTTGGAGCTCCTACTGCCACCCCCACCCGCCAGGGTTTAGCTCCATGTGGGCTCCAGGACTCTCAGCCATGCTGTGCCTCCATTACCCAGGGTCAGCTGGAGCTTCCATAAGGGCACGCATGCCTGAGCTCTAGCCTACATCTACTGAAATAAGGACCTCTGGGGTGGGGCTTGTACATCTGTATACAGTCGGCCCTCTGTGTCCGTGGGTTTTACATTTTGGATTCAACCAACCATAGACCCAAGAGATTTGGGGAAAAATTGCGTCTTTACTGAACATGTACCAACTTTTAAAATGGTTATTCTTAACAATTGAGTATAACAACTCACATAGCACTTACATTATATTAGGTGTTATGAGTAATTAGAGATGATTTGAAGTGTACAGGAGGATGTGTATAAGT